AGCCTTTGCCTGCTCGAACACGCTGCTGAAATCTTGGCTGGATGTGTACATATATACATACTCCAAAGGAACCAAGGACTGAATGTGCGTCGCCACCAAGAGAGCTCTCACGGGTGGGCGAGATAACATATCGGCTAACTTGTTCGTCGTTTCCTTCTTGTACCTAATGATGTTATTAAACGCCATCAAATAGGACATCCACTTCATGTGTCATGCCTGTTGTAGCTTCGTCTGGGTATGTAAGAACTCTAATGATTTGTGGTCTGAATGCGCAACCACCTCTTTACCCAACAAGTATACCTGCCAATGCTTAATTGCCTGATAAAGGGCATAAAACTCATTGTCATAGGTTGGGTAGTTCTGAATAGCACCTGTAAACATCTCAGAATGATATTCCACCAACTTCCCATCCTGTATCAACACTGCCCCCATAGTATAACTAGATGCGTCGGTCTCTACCTTAAAGGTCCGTTGTAGATTTGGTAATGCCAACACCGGTGCCTCCGAGATCTTTCTCTTTAGCAACTGAAAATCCTCCTCATGCGTCTTCCCCTACTCGAACTGAATCTAGCCTTCGTAAGGCTATGCAATGGTGCCGCATAAGTCAAAAAATATCGAATGAACTTGCGCAAATACTAGCAAGCCCCTATAAAACTTCTCACCTCCGTCACTATCCTAGGTGTCGGCAACTTTGTGATCACCACCATCTTGCCTGGATCTATCCTCCACTGCCCTTTCCCCACGATGAACCCGAGATACACCAACTCGTCCTTCCTGATTTCGTACTTCTTCCCATTAAGCTTCAGCTGTCCGTTCTGCAGCACTTCAAACACCTTCTCGACATGAACAAGATGCTCCTCCCAGGTCCTACTGTACACCAATATATCATTGAGGTAAACTATCACAAAATCCTCTATAAAGGGCCGCAACAAATTGTTCATAAGTCTTAAAAAGGTAGCCGGAGCGTTACACAACCCAAACGATATCACCAACCACTCGAACATGCACTGCTTGGTCTTGAATGCAGTCTTCCAAGTGTCATCCTTCCGAATCCTCATCTGATGGTAATCAGAGTTCAAATCCAGCTTCGTGAAAAACCTTTCTCCTTCCAACTGGTCCATAAGATCATCAATCTAAGGTAATGGGTATCGATTCTTAATGATTATCTTGTTAAGCGCCCGGTAATCCATGCACATGCGTCAGCCTCCATCCTTTTTGGGTACCAACAACACTGGTGACCCGCAAGGGGAACAACTCGGCACAATCACTCCTGTCTCCAAAAGCTCCTGAACCTGCCTCTTGATCTCCTCAGACTCCTCTACAGATGTGCAGTATAGACATATATTTGGCAGAGAACTCTCGTCAGTCAACATAATCTCATGCTTCATACCTTGTCATGGTGGTAGTCTTGTGATCTCCGAAAATAAGTCCACGTACTTGGCCTTCAACCTATCAAGCTCTCCCTCCTGAAACTTGCTCAAGGTAGTCAAGCATACCCTACTCAGCTACTCCTCATAAGGCCTAATGACTAACAATATGAACCTCTTGCTCGCATTCACTAGCCTCTTCACCTGAGTCACTATCACCAAACTCGTCTCCTGTGGAAGAGATACCGAACGGAAGATGAATTGCTCACCATCTTTGGTGAACGTATACTTCCGGGCTCGTCTATCGTAGACCGCAAACCTATCCCATAAATAAGGATTGCCTAGTATTACTTGGCAAACATCTAACGAAAAAACATCGCATGTGACCTCGTCAATATACGACTCATGGAGCACAAATTTGAAAGTGCATTGGTTGACCACACTCAATCCCGCCTCCTTCTGAATCCACCCTAAAGGATAGAGTTTCAGATGTTTAACCATCTTTAATCCTAGCTTCTGAACCAAGGCCTCAAATATCAAATTCTTCTGGCTCACTGGATCCACTATGGCATCAACTAAACTGGTCTTGATCTGCAATTTCAAAACAAAGAGCTGCTCCCTTGGGTCTTCGTCCTCCGTCGTGTTCTGCTTTCCCGCCATAAAGTTGAGACTGCTATTGAGTGCTGTCATCCCGGGAACTTCCTTCGGTCCTCGAGCTACTACATATGCCTTCTTCTTCTCCTTTTTCTTCAATCCTTTTGGCTTCAGATGAGGATACTTCTCCCAGCAACGATCAGCAACGTGTCATGTCTATTTGTAGTGATTGCATGTCAACCCTACCTTCCCCGAATCACCCTTCTTCTTCTTTTCCTTAGGCTGAGACCCACTCGACTTGCCTCCCGTCTGTTTGGAGTCTTTTTTTATTTCGTTGCCCTTCTTTTGCCTGCACTCAATGGCAATGGCCTTCACACTTACTTTAGCCATGGACTCGACTGTGAACAAGTTTATCTCCTTTCGGATATATTCATTCAGACCCACCATATACTTCATAAAGATAGAATATTCTTCCATTGCGATATTGAGAACCATCGCCTGCTACTGGAACTTCGTCGTATATTCTTGAACGGTCTGGTTAAATCTTTAGGGCAACCCATACCACTTGTACCAACGCTCCTCAAGGAATCCTACTAGATAGAATTGTTTCCTTAGTAGCTCCTTGAACTTGTTCCACGACACCGCCTTCTTTTTCTATTTACAGTAGTATTTCCACCAGGTTAAGGCATGCCCCGAAAGGTTCAGAGTCGCGAACACAATCTTCTCCTTGGACGAATATCCGTAGAGAGTGAAATACATCTGCATACGCTCGATCCAATCATCGAGTTTCTCCACATTGACACTCCCATCATAAACAGAAATTTCCACCTTAAAGTCAATTTTCATATTCTGGTAATAATTTTTACCCCCTTGATGTGTAGCAGTCTTAACAATCTCGGCCTCCTCATCAGAATCAGTTTTCTCACCTTCTCCATCGGACTCTTCGAGTTTCTTCTTACCCTTCGAAGAAGATTCCCCCTTTTTGTCACTTCCATGGATAAGACCCACGAGTTGAGTGAGTGTTGCCCCGATCGTCTTGATCTTCTTCTCTATTGCATCAAGTCTTGCTGAATTGTCTCCTTTAGTCATCTTCTTCTTTCTTAATTTTTGGATTCCTTCCAATGAAATAAGGATCTCGCCTAGTTTCTTGTATTGCGATCGACTCAGGACCATACACAGGATGCCCCATTCACATGATCCGATCGCTCTGATACCAACTTGATACGAGTCGCCGTACGAGCATCTTTGATCACGGAATTATCAAAGGTGGGTTGAGAAGAAAATAACAAGAACACAAGAACAATTCAGTGGTGGCGAAGGAAAAAACCTTCTCTAGATTATGAGAATAAAATAACTTACAATCTCTCACAATCTTACTAGAATTGAAGAACAATCTCTCTCAATTCTCCAAATACAATCTAATCTCTCCTGATTGTTTTAAAACCCTAAAATAATCCCTTTTATATGTGGAACAACGTGGATGGTAAAGTGGTAAATAACCAATCCCAAACCCTACAGAAATTCGTGCAAACAGAAACCCAAAAAACCAAAAAACCATCGATGAGTCGACTCACGTGCATGTATGAGTCGACTCATGTCATATGGGTCGACTCATGACAGTCATGAGTCGACTGGTCAAAAACTATGTCAACACATGCTGGGCTTCGTGAGTCGACTCATGACAGTCATGAGTCGACTCATGACACATGGGTCGACTCATACAGTGATGAGTCGATTGGTCAGAAACTTTTGACAAAACGGTTGAGTTTCATGAGTTGACTTATGACAGACATGAGTCGACTCAACCTGATGAGTCGACTCATGACTGTTATGAGTCGACTCACGGGCTGAAAACTGGATGTTTCGATTCTTCGATTCGTCGTCTCGTTCCACGCTTCAACATGTGTTCCACTGTGCTGTTTTACACCTTTATTCTCAAGCTACCATGAGAATCATCTATCCTCAAGCTCCCATGAGGATCGCTAAGTTCCGAAGAAAAGATACACATGTATCATTTTCTTTCACTCCTTTTTATCCACACACTTTTAAGGCCAATTTGAGAAATTTCTAAACACAAACATTTCTCATGGGTTCGACATCTTTCTATACTGTACTTTATAGTTCTTCTCTTGTAATTTTTGTGCATGTTTATTATGTGTATATCAAGGGCTTTCAGTAGAGAGAGAGAGAGAGAGAGAGAGAGAGAGAGAGAGAGAGAGAGGTATTGATCCAACGAGGGGACAATCACAGAGAAATCAAGAGTGGATCCAAAGTTATAAGAATTTCGAAATGACACCCATATAGATGCTATTTAAAAGTTTAACACCATTATAGGGTTGAGGTCCAACTAGAATAGAGCTAATTTCAGGTTCTCAAATAATTTTGCATCCCAAACTTGAAATTGGCTAAATTCCAAATATCCCAATGAAATACCCACATCCAAATTTTAGTCATTTATGAATTGAATATTAAAAATTATTTGTTTATTCTTAAAGAAACTACCCAATCAAATGTAACCGTGTAGCTAGGGTGTGTTTGTCAATCACCAAAAAGCTGGGTCGGTTTCAATCTTAGCCTAATTCTACTCTAAACCAGATTATATAATAAGACAAAAGGGGTGATGGTCCAATACTAAACTAGATTTATGACATTTCTGTCTAAGGAGAGTAGGCTCAGAATTATGTCAGTTTTGCCAATAAAAAATAAACTCAAAAGTAGGCCAAATTCAGTGGTGATCCAATTTTAAGAGAGCACCAAAAACAACCTTAAACAATTAACCAACTATTTTCATATCTAGACAAAGAAAAAGGACTAGATTCAATGAACCAAACCATAGATATCGATACCAAGCTTCAAACCCGTTATAGACCTATAAATCTCTAACGACCCGACCCGTTGGCTAAATATCCCGCATTAACACTGTAAGCCTCTTACGAAACGGTCTAGAATTGTTCTAGCAGAATCTTCTACGGCTAAGGATGGAGTGTAGGATAATAAATGTAGTTCTTGCTGACCATTTGCACAAGTTGCGGCATTTTGTTGGCCACTGTATCTCACTTCCGATACTCCCAATTACTATAAAATCCTTTCCATTCATCGTTTCTCAAAAAGCCTTGATCTTTTGTGAAGGAGGAATATGGAGCACGCGTTTCAGGTGAACTCTTTTTTGTAATTTTATTTGATTTCTGTTAATGGTTTTTGTTAATTGACGCTATCTGATGGGTTTACGGATTATAGGGGTTGAAAGAGACTGGGTGATTGTTTTGCCTTTTGTGGCAACGGGGTTTAAGCTTTTTTTTTTTTTTGCTCTGAATTTAAGTAGGATTATGAGTAGGATTTTAGGTGTCCCTTTTTAAGGGTAAGTTCAATTAATTAGAGGAGTCATTTTGAGGTGATCTTTTCTCCGAATTGAATACTCTGAAAAAAAATTTCATTACGATTTTTTATGTTCCTAGTGCTCACCACTTGAAAGAATAATTTCAATTCAACTTGGTTGTAGCATGATTTACTCGCAAGTTCTTGTGTTTTAGTTTTGGACATACAAGAAGTTGGGACTTGTGGAGACTTGGAATAGGCTCTATAGATATTTATTGGATTCATAAAGAACTTGTAGACTATGCGATGCTATTTTGTTGAATATGAGAAAAGAGTAGGATTTTGGGGGCTACCCTTGTCAAATAATTTTGGGTAATAGGTGGCTATTATGAAATAGTTTGCTAGTGTATGTTGAGCATGCATCGGTATGTGGACACATGAGGTCATGCGTGCATTATGCTTGTGTGCATGTGCATGAGGGGGAGGGAGCACAAGCAATTCAAGTCCTTTTATTTATTATTTTTTTTTTATGTTTAGAGATTGACTGTAAGCGCATCTATAAACCATATATCCATGTAACATGTATTTTAACGATGTCACTTTGACTAGCTATCAGCACTAAAAAGTTCAATTTTTCTTTGTTTTTTTTATTTGCAATAGAAAAAAAGTATTTTGCATTTACATATTAGTGAGATTTCTAGTCTTTGAATAGAAAAGTTTTGTTATGGTGAAGGGAAAGTTATTTGTGAAATTGATGTCATATACTAAGAAATAGTTATTTCTTTTGGTGTTTGGCTTAATTTTATTCTCTAAAACCAATTAATACGACAAGTCACTAGATGTCCTGTTGAAGGCAACACATGCTAACACTTTTTTCTCTGCAGACCGTAATGAGTCTGAAATTATCCTAGATGGGGGTGAATAGGGTATATGCTAATCTAATCCGATATCAATGCCAAATTAAATCTTATTAACAATTATATCCTTGCAAATTATGATATACAACAAAATGTGAGCAAGGATATGTAATTAAACAAGGGCGAAATAAACATGAGACAAGATGCAAATGAGATAGTGCGCAAATGACAATCACAAACAAACAATATGATCACAGAGTTCGGTCACCCTCGACCTACGTCTCCGCTCCTCACTCTCGAGGAGAATCTCCACTATCTCAACCGATTTTTCAACGCTAACTGAAAACATTTACAACTCCACACAATCGGTTTTTTAGCTCACCAAAAACTTACACAACTCACACAATTGTAATCACACAATACACCCTTTAAGTGTTGGCCTAGCCCATGTCGACTTTCTCAAGTTCTCGGATGTACACCCTCTCCCTAGGTTTTACTACCGACGCCACTGCTCTTGAAATCGACCCCGTCTCTCACCACACACTCTAGTGTACTTGTGTATAACAATGTGATCTCACAATTAAGCTCAAGTACAAATGATTTTTCTCTCTAAGAAGATGAGAACTCAATTAAGCTCACACTCAATGCCACAACCTCACAACTCTATTATACAATATGTGAGAATACTAAAAGCTCAAGTGAGTTGTTTGTGAACAATGAGCAATAATGAAAACTAAACTCAATATAAAATCTAGCTTAATAAAATAAATAATCAACAAATAAATATATGAAGCTAGAAATTGAGTTTAGAGAAAACTTCTTTGTAAAACAAGAGTAAGAGAGATTGAAATTGAAGCCTAAACACGAAATGGATGATCTCTTCCTCTTGTGAAAATTTCTTCATATAAACTCTTGTAAAAACATACTTAAATAAACTAAAATCCTTGTAAAACTTGTTTTAAAACTTTCTTAGTTAAACTCAGAAGTTATAGGGTACGGGGTATATATAGGGACCCTAAGAAACTAACTAAAACCAACTAAAAACACAAAACAACAAAAATCTAGAAAATAACCGTTACTGTGCAACGGTCATATTATAAGTCGACTTATGACAGGCTATGAAGCACGGACACGCATAACATGAAGCCATGTCGTGTCGTGTCCGTGTCGGACACACGTGTCGAACACACGTATCCTATGTATTTTTTAGGATTTGCCTCGTGTCGGCGTGTCGGATGACTGTGTCGGATCCGTGTCCGTGCTACATAGATGACAGGTATAAGTCGACTTATGTTTTCATGAGTCGAATTATATAAGTTATAAGTCGACTCAGCAGACGAAAATATAAAACTGCACAACATATCATAAGTTGACTTATAAGTCGACTTATAAGTCGACTTAAACGTGCACAAGACGTGAAATGCGCAGTAAAAATCAACTTAAAACATTGTTTAAAATATCAAACAAATTCTAAAAAATATAAAACTTAGAAAAATATTTATAAACGTGAAAATGAACATGTTACAAAAAGAATTTTTCAAATTACATTTCCTATTTGTGAAAACTTATTATTTTGCAAAATCTCACAAATACGTGTTCGTTCAAATACTTGATTTTGACAAAATGACTTAAATAAAGTTTTGAAAGCTTTTGAATGGATTTATAGACTTAGGAAAAGATGTAAACTAGTGTTATGAAGTTCATAAACCAAGAATACAATATTTTCTAAAAAATACACATATTTTGCTATCTTACAAAAAACACTAAATATGATTTCATTGAATTGAAATTGTTAAAACTTTATTTTAATGAAATCATATCAAGCACGTATAAATATGAAACAAATAAGTGTGTATATAACTATATTCATTTGTTTCATATTTATGTGGCTAAACTTGAAGGCAATAAAACGAAAACAATGTGTATGTGTATAATTTGGGCTCTAAGTATTAACACACATAATATAAACATCTAAACTAATATACCCAAGCTATAGGTCTTTAATGTAGCTCAACTTGGTTGCAGATAAAGCTTGATCTTGAATATTACTTTGAATTACAAATGACTTTATTCCGATATTCCGTCAACCTCCATTGAATGTCATCATTAAGGCGCAATCCATCCAACCTCCAACGGAGGATCCTTGTGTAGAATATCTAACAATCAAATATAAATACTAAACAACTATTGTTAGGAATTGTTTGTTAATCATCAAAACTAGATTAGATAGTAGGCTCATAAACATGAGACCTAACAGAGTCAACTTCTTACCATTACAATGACAAATATATTGAAAAACCATTCGTGTTATGTGATATATCTCATGTATATGAATGGTTCCAAGTTTCACATTAAGACAACATCTTCTATCCAAAGTCTTATAACTTTTGTTTGGAGACGCATAGCGTTAAAAATCATATACTTTTAACTTCAACCAATCTTTAGGTAGTTGCATGTACAACATCAACTCAAAGGACCTGCTTAGCCTTAATACAATTACTACTCTTTCCTAAGAAGTCTGCTTCACTTGCTGGTTTTGTTTAGATATTTTTTGGGAGGTGTCTTTTTTTTGTTTGGATTTTGGAGGAGGTAACTCACACAAAAGAAATTTTTAGTAGTAAAGCACTAACGATTTACAACATTAACTCTCACAAGAACACCCCTCTTTCACACACCTCATTCTTACACACCTCACTTATATTACTAGAACACTCACACAATCTCAAGCTACATATTCAAGCTCACTTCTTTACTTGCTTGTTCAAATGTGACCTTATGGTCTCTATTTATTGTTGTCTTAAGAGTGGCAGGATGGAAGAAGAATTAATCCTAGCCATACACTTATTGGGAGTTTCTAAAATAATAAATATTAACCATACACATGTATGCTCCTAGAAACTTCTTCGTAGATATTTTTTAAAGATAACGCTAAAGAAATTTCTAAAGAATACTGTTTGAGGGTAATCCTTGATCATGCGTAGTCCAGGACTGTGAGGCTCATGTGTTTGGTACCAAACTTACTCGGTACGCTCAGGACAATCAAGTCATGATATCAGATCATATATTTGCTCCTGACAAAATGGAGAAGGTCAAATAAGTACAACTACTAAGATTAGCGACCGTGTCTAAGTCCTATTTTCAAAATCAAGACATGAAATATCATTGATGCTGACTGGAGCTCACCACTCCCTACTGACAGAGAATGCACGTGTAGTCAAGAAGTGGGATATAAAGGTGTAGAAATCCTTGTACGTGATTTAGATTATGATGGAGAAGATTTTGCTTTCAATTACTGACTATTGAGGATGTAGAGATGCTAAATAAGCATTGGGTGTCCTCGTTGCCTTTCTCAAAGAAAAATATTGT